TAGAATCTGGCTGCTGGGAACACCTAATGTTAGCAACCCTGATACAAGCACATCATAAACTGACTAGGGACCGGGAATGAATTTTCAAAGCATACATGTGTTCAGGAAAACATGTATGTGTGTAAGTGTACTTACAAACTGATAAATCAGGAGCTGGCTTTTTTTCTTTTTTCTTTTGAGTCATGCAAAGGAAATGCCAAGAAAGGCCATTCAAATCCGTATATAATTTTGACTACAGGTTAGTTTCCAGCACCGGATCTGCTGATGCTTGGGGCTCCGCTTTTTCCTTAGTATGTAACGGTTTGAGCAGGAAGAGCACAGAGGCCTTCTGGGTGGGGAGGCCTGATGTCTGAGGCGCTGGGTAACCTCTACAAGATGCTACTCCATGGGATGTGCGTTGATGGCCTTGGCCTCACACCTCTGCCGGACCCATGACCTCTAATCATAGTTGCTGGTGGAACCTAATCAGAAAATGTCGAACACTGGATCTGGTTCTTGTCAGGTGCTTAGTGACGGTTCTTTTTTTTTTTTTTTTTTTTCCTTCTTTTTTCTTTTTTTTTTTTTGACAGTTTGAAGTTAACAGGAATGTTTGTGTTACTTTTGTGTATGTGTGTGTGATCATTGGCAAATACTGATCCCTTTATACAATGTAAATCTCTTTCTGGCCTTATCTGCTGGGTGGGGAGGTGGTGCTGATCCGGGTTTGAAGTCCAGCTTTGTCAGTAACTGGCTGCTTTCGACTTTGGGCCTCAGTTCTTCAGCAAGGCAGCAAAGGGCTGGGGAGAGGTGAGCCCTTGGACCTTTTTCAGAGATAAGATACTCTGATGTGAAGGCCTGTGTTGGGAGGATGGCATTTGAATAATCCCAGGATTGGCCTTTGGACAAACCAGGTTCATGGGCATTTACATCACACACACGCTCTGACGCCTTCACCCCCCCAAGGCCAGTCCACGCCCACCCTGCCCTCCTGCCGGACTCACAGGCGGACCGGCAAAAAGCTGTGAATGCTTGATGCCGTCTGTCCATGCCTCTACAGACGGCCCGAGAACAGCCTTTCAGCAGGCGCATCTGGCTCTGTAAAGGACCACACATAAGCAACCCTGGCCCAGCCCAGAAGCCTCAGGGAACACTGTCCACAGGGGGTGCTTTTCATTTCCGTAGGATAAGCAGGTCATCCATTTGCTCTTTCACCCAGATGAACTGATCGCTTACGAACTAACGAGAAGGGAAGCAGAAGTGAACAGAAGACCCCTTCCTGAGCTGGTGCGCGCCAAGATACCGTTTAGTGCCTGCCTCCAGGCCTTCTCTGAACCAGAAAACGTTGACGATTTCTGGAGCAGTGCCCTACAAGCAAAGTCCGCGGGTGTGAAGTAAGTGTGTAGTCAGCGGGGTGAGGAGGGTCCTTGAGAGGTGGGGATGGGGTAGGGGAGAGTAAGTGGGTGATATCTGAGTCTGTGTGTGTCTGTCCATGTGTGATGGATGGGATTATGCTTCACACATCCTAATTGTCATCAGACTTGACTTGCGTGAGACCTGTCCAGTACAACAGGCCTGTAATTTATCTTATGTGCTAAGGAGGGGCTTCTTTTTTTAAATGTAAGGTTGTGTTTTATTCCCTGTTAGGAGTCTCCCTCCCTCCCTCCCTCCCTTGCCTGTCCCTGCCCCTCTCTTACTAAGAGGGTACAGCCAAGAAGCAGCCGCTACTCCCAAATGGCAAGGATGACATTATTAACGAAGAAATCCGAAAAATATGTGAGACAGGCCTCAGTTTAAACTCGATTACGCTATATTTTAACTCCATAATTAGAGACTGGGCCTAGAGCATGGCTGACTGTGTTTCTCCTTGGAGTCTGGGACTCTCAGGACATCTGAGTGGACAGGAGGTCTTGCGAGCGTTGTTGGAACGAGCCGCCCAGGCTTTGGTCAGATGTCCTGTTGTCACGTTGCGAGGCTGCTTGTCAGACACATATAAGTTTTTTCCTCCACCTGCCACCTTAGTTGGCTTGAAACACCTGAGCCCTTGCCCACACACTCCATATCACTGCCCCTAACTGGACAAAGAGTGCTTACAGTGCCATGAAACTGGGGGGCCTGAAAGTTTGGCCCCAGGAGTTTTGCTGTGTTCATATAATCTTGGACTATTTTTTTTTTGAGGCTAAGATTGAGCTTTTGGCTAACAGACAGGGGATTAAAGGATGGAACAGCTGCTGTGGGCTGTTTGTACCCTGGCCTCAATAGAAGTTCATTATATATGTATATAATAATAATTTTTTTTTTGAGGAGTCTCCCTCTGCCACCCAGGCTGGAGGGCAGTAGTATGATCCTGGCTCACTGCAGCCTCCGCCTCCCAGGTTCAAGTGATTCTCCTGCCTCAGCCTCCTGAGTACCTGGGAATGCAGCACACCTGCCTAATTTTTGTATTTTTTTTTTTGAGATGGAGTCTAGCACTGTTGGAATGCAGTGGTGTGATCCCAGCTCACCACCTCCCGGGTTCAAGTGATTCTCCTGCCTCAGCTTCTTGAGTAGCTGGGGTTATAGGCATGTGCCACCACGCCCAGCTAATTTTGTATTTTTAGTAGAAATGGGGTTTCTGTATGTTGGTCAGGCTGGTCTCGAATTCAAAACCTCAGGGGATCCGCATGCCTCAGCCTTCCAAAGTGCTGGGATTACAGGCATGAGCCACTGTGCCCCGCCAATTTTTGCATTTTTAGTAGAGAGGGGGTTTCACTATTTGGCCAGGCTGGTCTTGAACTTCTGACCTCAGGTTATCTGCCCTCCTCAGCCTCTCAAAGTGCTGGGATTACAGGCCTCAACCTATATTATTTGTTCTCTTTGAAACCCCTCCGTCAGGCTTCTGCTATGTTTCAGATCATAGACATCATATGTTAAAAATAGGAATGCAAAAACAGTTTATTTCAAAAAAGGAAAACAAGCCATATTCGTTACAATTGTTTTTTCAAAGCCCCATATCCAAGGGAGATGAATAGCAGTTCATCCGGGTATCAGTTGCCCATCACTGGGTGAGTTTCCATCCTAGGACTGCTCAGCTGCAGGTGTGTGTGTGTCTGTGTCTGTGTGCGTGTGTATGTGCGTGTGCCTGTGTGTGTGCATGTGTGTGCCTGCGTGTGCGTGGGCCTGTTTGTGTCCTTGTAGATAACAGTTGGTGAGTTCCCAGGTTCAGCATGAGAGATGCTCAGTTACAACTCAGAGACAACTCTGGGCAGTTAGAGCTCTACACTCTCTATTACTGATGGAAAATTTTTAAAAACCATGGACAGTAGCTTAGGACTGATTCCTGGAGCATTTATCCTTTCCTCTTGGTGCTTTTGTTCTGATTCCATTTTGGAGGCGGAACGTGATTGGGGACCTGGAAGCTTAGACAGCCCCCAGCATCAGGGGTAAGCTGCAGAGTGGGTATTCTTCACCTGCCTGGCCCTCGGCTACCCATCCTGCTCTTCAGAAAAGGGCCTGGTGTCTTAGAAGTGCAGGTGTGACACTCTGGGCCTGCCTGTCCCTGTAAGTGTCCTGCCGGGAAGCAGCCTTTCAACACCTGGAAATGGCCTGTCTTTAAAATGGGGACTGAGAGGCACGAGCTCTCCACAGACGGGCAGACTCCCTGAGCCTGGGGCTGTGGTCAGGAGACCTGGATTCTTCTCCTGCGTCCACTTCCCACCGTATCTTCTGTCCTGGGGCCAAGTCACTGCCCGGTGTCCTTCCGTCTGGAACGGAGGAATGATCGTGCCCAAGTCAGTCCTCGGCAGTTGTGGGCAGTGCGAGCGTTTCTACCTAGAATCCTTGAGGAAGGGTTTCTGCTTCCTGCGGCTCCTACGAGGACCTCTTTCCTTTTCCTTTCTGTCCGCACGCACCCCTCCCATACATGAGAAGAATTAGTACTGGGGGATCCGTTTGTCAGTGATTGGAAACTGGTCCTTGTGGGAGAGGAGAAGACAGTGTTAAAGGCAGTAAAGCCGCTGCCGTGGACGGCACGTCTGCTGTCACCGGGTCATGCGCCGAGCCCCCCCATCAGTTACACAGTGCATCCTCTTAGTTGTCTGAGGTGGGTACCATTGTTTTCTCATTTTATGAGGGAAGAAATAAAAGAAGTCATTGGCCAGTAAGTGGCAGACATGGATTCATTCCCGTCTGAGTTCAAACTCTAAACGCCGGTTATCGGGCCCCCCATGTTCCTGGTCATGCTTGCTTATCCTTACATTTTTACAGAGGCTTGCTTTCTCTCTTTTTTTTTTTTTTTTTGAGATGGAGTCTCACTCTGTCACCCAGATTGGAGTGCAGTGGCACGATCTTGGCTCACTGTGACCTCTGCCTCGCGAGTTCAAGTGGTTCTCCTGCCTCAGCCTCCCAAGGAGCTGGGACTACAAGTGTGGGTCACAACACCTGGCTAATTTTTATATTTTTAGTAGCGATGGGGTTTCACCATGTTGGCCGGGATCGTCTTGATCTCTTGACTTCGTGATCCGCCCGCCTCGGCCTCCCAAAGTGCTTGGATTACAGGCGTGAGCTGCTGCGCCCAGCCAAGAGCCTTGCTTTTTCTTTGTTATGATTTATCATGTTTCAAATATTAGTTTTGAGAAAACCAGTTCAGTGGGTTTCTAAGAGATCTTATTTTTATTTCCAGCAATGGAGGCTGTGATTCAGTCTACGTTTTGTTAATCTGGGACCTTGGGTTTTTCCTTGTTACACCCAGAGCCTGAAAAGACCATGAAGAGGCAAACAGTCCCTAAAGATCTTGGTGGGACTTGCATCAGGATGGGCCAGACATAAAGACCCTTCTCTTAAATGATCATGAACAGACCGTGTGTGCAAAGAATGTCAGTGCTTGGAAGGGTCATTCACCCAGCAAATATTATTGCTCACTTAGCATATTCTAGGCAATGGGTTGATCCAGACCTAACTCCTGCCCTCAGACAGCTCACAGATGAAGAGTTGAGAGGGAGAGATTTTTACTTACCCACCATCATTTATAAAGAAAAAACCTTGGTGTGGGGTTGTACAGCACAGACTCCAGGTGGACGCCCCGTGTTCGAACGCCCCGTCTAGAACTTGCTGGTGTGCAACCTGGGCTAGGTGACCTCGCCATCAGCTCCGGCTTCCCTGTCTACAAAGTGGGGATAATAATGGTACTTTCTTTGCAGGGCTGGGGTAAGAATTAAGGGAGATAAGCCATATAAAGTGCCTCACACGGGGCAAATACAGGACGGAACTGTTATTTCCGTTATGTTTAGCTTCCAGATTTTTTGTCTTTGATGATATAATTTGAGTGAGGTGGATTGATGATTATGTTTTCAACAAGTAGACAGGGTAAGATTTTTTTTTTTTAGTTAGGTTTTCAGTACAGTTGACAATGTCAGGGAGAGGGATAGTTTATATTTCTTTCTCAACAAAATCTTTATTGTATTTTTGCCTTAATTGTAATTGGTGAACAGTCAATATATTTTAAATAATGCTGACAGGTCGTTAGCAGACACCACAGTGCTGTTGCTGGGACCTATTCTAAGCACTTTATGTCTTGACTCATTTAATTCCCTTAACAGCTCTTCCAAGCAAATTTGCTGTCTATCTAGATCTCTTTGAATGATTTACATTCTAATGGTCTTTATTAAAAACATATCATTTCCAAGGATATTTCAATTCCAGAAATTAATTTTAGGAATAAAAAAATAAGCTGAGCATAATTTTTAACTTTGCTAGATGTGACTACCTGATGCCCCCAACCTGCAATAAATGAATGCAAAGCATAACTTTGGAGATGGATTTGAACAGACACGTATTGAACGGTTGCTACATGTGAGCGCTTCAACTTGAGACCCTATAGAGGTTACAAAGATGAATAATGTTTGGCCTGACAGGGCAAATATAATTTGAACACCTTTAAATCTACTTTCTGGTGCTTTTAGGTTGGCTGTTACCCATGACACAGTGATGTGTTAAATTATCCCTGCCCCAACCTTGAGTTATTCCACTACCCCTACTGTGGCGTCACAGCTGACATCTGACCTCGACACCACAGAGCAGCTTCAAGTCTTGGGTCCTGAGTCATATTTTGGAAATTATTGATTCACCGATGTCTTTTGGTTGATTTCACTATTACGTATTTTCCACATTTAAAGCTAATGTGGTAGGAAGAGGAGGTCAGAAAAATAACATTTTTACATTAGTTAAAATATCATGGCTGGGTGTGGTGGCTCACACCTGTAATCCCAGCACCTTGGGAGGCTGTGGAGGCTGAGGCGGGTGGATCACCTGAGGTCGGGAGTTTGAGCCCAGCCTGGCCAACATGGAGAAACCCTGTCTCTACTAAAAGTACAAAAATTAACCAGGCATGGTAGTGGGCACCTGTAATCCCAGCATTTTGGGAGAGTGAGGCAGGAGAATCGCTTGAACCCAGGACGTGGAGGTTGCAGTGAGCCTAGATCACACCATTGCACTCCAGCCTGGGCAATAAGAGCAAAACTCCATCTCAAAAAAAAAAAAAATTGTAATACCAGATGGAGTTGGTTGTTTTCTGGTGCAGTTGGGGACTTGGTGACATTTAAATAAGAATGGTGTTTATTACGGTTCTCGGAAGATCGCAAAACCTAATTAGAGGTACTATATAATTTCTGGAGAGTGAGCCTGGCCAGTAGTAGATTAGTTGCTTGGGATGAGAAAGCTCCTGTTTTCTGAACATCTTTTATATTATTGCCTTTACTCTTCTACCAACTTTGTAATGGAGAATTTGAGATACAGAGAATTTAAATAACTTGCCTGGGGCAAAATACAGATCAGTGACAGTTCAGTTCAGCATCCAAGGCTTCATAGCTTCTAGGTCTTCCAGGGCAAAGTAATCATGCTAATTCCTTGGGTATACACAATGCCTTCTAGGGTGCCAGGTGAGTTCACGTCATTTCTTGAACGTTGCACGGCCTGGCAGGCAGATATGAGCAAGTCCATTTTGTAGGTGGATCGGGCTCCGTGGACCGCCCAGATGTGGAGTGAACGCAGTGGCCTTTCGAAGGCCCACAGCCACATCTTCTGACTTCTGTCCCGTGTGCTGTCCCTGTGTTGTGCCTTTTCCCGGACACTAGGGGGCAGCAAACACTTGCATTTGTTTTCGAAGTTCTGGGAGAAGGCAATGCCTTAGATTTGAAAAGTGGGGTGGGGAGGATGTTCTAGAATTTTATCTTTTTATTTTTATTTTTGGAATTTAAAGCCTACAGCACCCGGTATTCCCAGGCAGTCTCTCCTCCAAGTACTAGCCAGGCCCGACCCTGCTTAGCTTCCGAGATCAGGCGAGGTCAGGCGCATTCAGGGTGGTGTGGCCGTAGACGATATTCTAGAATTTTTTTATTTTAAAAGGCATCTGTGATACCTGCCAACAGCTCATTTTCTTTTTTATGCGTACCCACCACACCCCCATTGATTACACGTAGAGATGGTTGTTAAAAGCAAGCTGGTAAGTGTGGAGTGAGTGAGCTGGAACTAGGTCAGAATCTGGTGTACCAGTTGAACAGTCTGGGTGTGAGATTACCGAATCCACGCCCAGGCCACGGAGCCTTTCTGAAAGTCTGAAGACAATTCGAGAGACTGCTGATGTGTATTAATTTTAAACTTCACGGCCCAGATTCAGATGTTTTGGATACTTATTTATAACATGCTTTATGCTTTGGGTTAGGAACTGCAGTATTTTAATGAGGCCCTGGCATTTCCAGTAGTCAGCCTCAACCAGAGTTTCCGTCAGCGCTTCGTCTGCCAGCTCTGTGCGTGTGGAAGGGGAGGTGGGGGGTTTCAGTGTCACCCGGGAGGCTTTTCAAACCGCATGTGCGTATACACAACACATGCATGTCATCAACAGTCAAAAACATGTATACTCAATTTTAGAAAGGATTTCAGAAAAAATAAATGGTTAAAAAGCACTTTTAAGAAATGTAAAACACCACAGCAAAGTAAAAGTAACAATTTTGAAACAGGTCTAAAAGCATTTTTTTTTTTTTTTTTTTTTGTAAAGTTTTTTTTTTTTTTTTTTTTTTCCTTTTGAGACAGAGTCTTACTCTTGTTGCCCAGCCTGGAGCGCAGTGGTGCGATCTTGGCTCACTGCAACCTCCGCCTCTAGTGTTCAGATGGTTCTCCTGCCTCAGCCTCCTGAGTAGGTGGGATTACAGGCGTGCCCCACCACGCCTGGCTAATTTTTGTATTTCTAGTAAAGACAAGGTTTTGCCATGTTGACCATACTGGTCTCAAACTCCTGACCTCAGGTGATCTGCCCACCTCGGCCTTCCGAAGTTCTGGGATTACAGGTGTGAGCCACACGCCTGGCCCCAAAAGCATTCTTAAAGGACAACATTCTACATTAAACGTTTTCTTATGAAAAGGCCAGGACAAGTGAGCAGGCGAGAACGAGTGTGTGTCCACTTACGTGTCTGTGTTTGCGTGTTCCTCCTCCTCAGTTCAGCCATTGGAATGGCAGGGTGTGCCTCAGACAAAGTTGATGTGCTTTTTGAACTGTATTCACAATTCTTACTGCCTTGTTTCATTGACATGTCCCCTTGTGTTTCCCAGAACATCTCGCTTTGCCTCATTCCCTGAATACTTGGTAGTGCAGATAAAGAAGTTCACTTTTGGTCTTGACTGGGTTCCCAAAAAATTTGGTAGGTATCTTTTGCATGCTTTTGCTTAAAACATCAAACGAGCCATTTAAACAACATGGCATGTGAAAGAGCCCACGTAGGCGCTGCCACAGACAGCTCCGTTTCATTCTTCGTCACTCCCACCTTTCTGTTTTGAACTGGGATATATGATAAGACCTGACGGCAGCCATTGCCACCTGCTTACCCACCCCTCCAGTTACGGTGGCTTCCGGAATAACCGGATTCTAAGAGTGTAAACAGAATCCTCACGTCGTCAGGAAAACAGCACTTTCCAAACTTTACCATGCATATGAATTACCTGGGATCTTGGTGAAATGCAGACGCAGATTAGGCAGGTCTGGGGTGGGCCTGCGATTCTGTGTTTCTCACAAGCTCCCACGTGCTGCTGGTGCCGCTGGTCCACAGACCGCGCTTTGGACAGCCAGCAGCTGAAGAAGCTCTCTCCTCTGCCTGTGAGCAGGCAGGCGTGGCTAATGACATTCACTAACGTCACACACGCTATTAATGATAAAATAGAAAAAGTCAGTTGCATCAGACAGTTAAAATAAAGGATGTGATTTTGGCTTCATTAGACTTTCTTTGTGCTAATTTTAGAGGTTCCTGACCATTGCTGGAGGTTAGTTTTCCAGACAGTGTGTAAAAGCCTTTCTCCAGCATTATGATCCAATACAAAGGGCTTTACTAGGTTGTCCTCAGCGATGTGGAAGAATGTACCGTTTCTCAAGCAAGCACTCTGAATTATCTGCCAGTCTTTTAAAGTTTTTATGTTTTTAAGTGCCTAAGAAAAAAACCCAACTCAGTCTTACACTGATTCAGCACTTGTTTGAAGGGGATAGGCTGGAGTGACTTCCTGGAGACCTTCAGCACTAACGTTACACAGCACTTGTTTGCCACGCGAAACTGTGCCGGGCTGTCATGCTCCTGCAGGAGGCATCCCTCTTCCTGGCAGAGCAGTTTCGTGAGCAGCGGAGGGCAGAGGGCAGAGGGCAGAGGGCAGAGGGCAGAGGGCAGGAGGCTGACCACTCAGCTTTTCTTCCAGGGACCTGGAAAGTACCCGAGAGAAAAAAACTGTCTTGCTCTGAAGGCTTTGAACCACCTTGGACATGGTTTGCTTATTTTCTTTGTCCTTGGAATTTCTGTAAAGGAATATAAAATTTGAATCAGATTTCATTGACTTGCTGAATTTTAAGGAACCTCAACGTTTTATTTAATGAACCTGAATTTCTCTCTGAAGGAACAGCTGTGTTGATTTTCTTGGTCAGCTTTTATGTTTGGTTTTGCTATGCCCTGAAATTTAAATTCGCTTTTTAAATTAAGCTTTGTTCTTCGGGTTGTTGTTTTAAAATAGGATTTATGGACCTTGCCTCATAACTGATTTTGGGGACAGTATTTTCAGGTTGTTTACTAGCCCAAAAGATGTACCTTATACCAACATTTGGACCCACTTTTCATTAGTATACTCATCTTGACAGGGTATTAATCTGAGAAATTTTGTATTTGAATAAGTCTACACAACAGTGGAGCCAAGAAGTTAACAAATGCACGGTAGAGATACTACACGTGAGAGTCAGTTAATTTCCTTAAAACTTCATTGTTATTCAAACCATAGAATATCCACAGCATCATCATGACCTGAGAATGAGTTGCATCATCACGTGGGATTGCAAACCCAAACTCCTAACAAGGACAGGGTGATTCATAATCACAATGAAAGAAGGGGGCTGCGTATAGGAAGCTCGTAGCTATCTTGGCGTTGCTCGGGTATTCCCACTGTGAATAAAGAGATGAGCTAGAAAAACTGCCGTGAGAATCAGACCGGCGCAGACACGATGCTCGGGGAGCGGCAGGGCCCTGGGTGTGTGCCACTCGCACTGCCCGTTGTCTGGGGTAGAACCCGAAGACCAGCTCCAGACGGTGTTGCCGTGCGAGAACACGCAACAGCTTTACGCGTTTCCAAATAAGCTGGAAATCTAACTTTTAAATCTTCTGATTTAAAAATCAGAATTTGTTGTCAACACTTGTAAAGTATGGAACAGATTGTGTGGGCCACACATGGTTTTGGGCTGTCAGTTTGTGACCTCAGGCTTAAGTGATGTGCTCTCGTTGGGTGTGAAATCCTGCCACCCACTGTACTCCCCGGGCTCCCCACCGAAACCCCACCAGTCTTCATGAGTCTGCTGGTCAAGAGACACATTCTAGGGAATTGAAAACGCCCCTTAGCTCTGCCTAGACGCGTGCACGTAGTCACCATGCTGGTGGTATAACAAGGTGGCTGTGGACAGCCCCGCGGGTATAATCTCTCTCCTTTTGCAGATGTTTCTATTGATATGCCAGACCTGCTTGATATCAACCACCTCCGAGCCAGGGGGTTGCAGCCGGGAGAGGAGGAACTTCCAGACATCAGCCCCCCCATCGTCATTCCCGATGACTCCAAAGGTACCATCTCCTGCCAGGAGAACACGCCCCACCCTCACGCCGTGTCCTCTAGCCGCCTTCCTGTGATGTGACCCCCACCAGCACACAGAAGGGAGGCAGGGCTGCAGTAGGAAACGTAGAATAGACATTGCAGCAGGCACAGACCCGTCGTGCGTGGTTGAAATGGACAGTGTTTTTCTGTAGGGTCTCAGTCTGGGAAGCTGTGTCATTGCATTCTTGGGAATACCTTTGGACAACCTAAAGGGGAAATTCAACAGGGTGAGTTGGTTTAAAAACCGTGACAGGATCTCAACTCCCCAACTCTGTTACTGCTTCGGAGAAAGGAAGAGGTTTGAGTTTCTCTTTGACCTTGTGACCCTGTCCCTGGTCATTGTTCAGAATACATAACTTTTTTGTGGAAAAAGACACGCCAGGAATAGTTGCCTCACCTTTGTGGGTTCAAAAACAGTGTCAGAAAAATCTTGGTTTAAGTGTTAGCTCAGTTATCCTGATTGACTCAGTTTCATTCTGGCTTTGTTCGCTCACCTGGTGAGTTACTCGGGTAAGTTAACTCGCAATGACCTAGCACTCTGGGACCCTCTCCTAAAGGGTTTCCGTCAGGGAAACAGTCAGTGTTGTTGGTGACCATGATCAGGTGTAAAGGAAGCGTAAGGTGGGTCTAGAAGGAGCAAGACAGGTTCAGACAGACGTCTGTGTATGTTCTCCGATGTTGGGTCAGATGCTAAATTATGGAGAGAGAGTTAGAGAAGGGACGTTCTGGGTCATGGAGTTCAGGTGGTTCATTAAAGGGATTGAAGAAGGATCAGCACAGGCATCAGATAAATACAAGATGGCTTATTAGTGCTGCCCCGGCCTGTGGACTGCAGTTACCTAAAGCTGTTAGAAATAGAGAGAGAGGCTGGATACAGTGGTGCATGCCTGTAATCCCAGCACTTTGGGAGGCTGAGGTGGGAGGATCACTTGAGCCCAGGAGTTTGAAACTGGCCTGGTCAGTATAGTGAGATACCATCTCTACAAAAAATAAAAAAAATTAAGAATTATCTAGGCGTGGTGACTGGTGACATGTGCCTGTAGTTCCAGCTACTCAAGGGGCTGAGTCACGAGGCTCACCTGAGCCCAGGAGGCTGAGGCTGCAGTGAGCCACGATTGCTGCTCCACCCTCTGGCCTGGGCGACAGAGTGAGACCCTGTCTCAAAAAAAAAATGTTTTTTTCAAGAAGAAATAATAGGGAGATAGTAGGGAAATAGTAGTTTGTTCAGATAACGATCGGAGCGGCATGTTGTAACTAACCTAAATGCCTGAAAGCGATTGCCTTCTCTCCTGACTGAGGCTGGGGCGGGCTGTGTGGGGTTGCAGGATTAACAGCCGTGTGTGGCTCCCCAGGAGTGGGGAGGGCATGGGGGTACCCTGGATCAGCAGGTTTTCTTTGTCTAAAACTCTTCTCACTTTCTGTCCTCTCCCTTCATTTCCAGATCGCCTGATGAACCAACTGATAGACCGTATGTATCTTTAAAAATGTTTCTCAAGTCTTATTGGTATTACTCTGATACACCTGTGTGTGAGAGTTCAGTACAGAGCCACTGTTCTGTATGTCTCTATGTGCTGCTTTTCCCGGGTGGAAACAGTTCTCTGTCCGCTAGTCAGTGACTTGCTGATCAGGTGGCCTGCGGGGCTCAGGAGGTTGACCATCAGCATGAGGCTAAGCAGCCCTGCGTCAGAATCTTGGCCCGCCATTCCAGTTTTTCTCCTCTTTTGGTGTAATTTGAGAGCAGTGTGTGTGTGTGTGTATCTGTATGTATGCACAGATTCACACACATCTCTACCAGTATCTATATGTTCTTAACAAAAGAAAACAAAGCTCTCTCTGTCTGAGCCCAAGTTACTTTGTAAATCTCTCTCTCAATGTTTTAAACTTACATAATTAAACAAGGAGCTTTTTCCGTCTATACCTAACATTTGGACACTGCAGCTCCCGGTGCTGATTGCTTCCTACGATTGCCAGACGGATGCAAAGGCCTGCAGTAACTTTCTGCGAGGCTTAAGGAACAGGCTTTATCGGCTGTAGACAGTGCTTTCTCTTCAAGTTTCAGGCGTAGGAGAGGCTGCGGAGAGGTTTTGAGGATGCTCTGAAATCGTTCTGGGAATTGTTTTTGTCTAATTTTCTATGGGGAGATTTAGTGTTTTCCCAGATTGGATTGTCCAGGTAATTAACCTGGGTCCTATTTGGGTCGAACATATAAAGTTAGCCCAAATAGCTTAATATTTGGGTGACTTACAACAAAACTAAACAAAGTGAAACCGTTAATTACACCCAACAAAATAGCACTTTCTTTGGGTAGTGTGTGGATGAGCGCGTGATGAGCAGCTAGGACAAGAAGCAATAGCATTTCCCTTTTCACACGAGACTGTCCTGTTGTGCTCTGTAGCATCAGACATTGACGAGTCGTCAGTGATGCAGCTGGCCGAGATGGGTTTCCCCCTGGAAGCGTGTCGCAAGGCTGTGTACTTCACTGGAAATATGGGCGCCGAGGTGGCCTTCAACTGGATCATTGTTCACATGGAAGAGCCAGGTAGGTTGCGGGAAAACGGAATGGCTTTGGAGCCTGACATGACCCTCAGTGATGCTATGTCCTGGTCCTTCCATGGCCCCTGTGGATGTATCCCTAGAAAATGACTTTACAGTTCCTCATTGGCTGCAGCGGGGGGAGAAAGCTAGTCTTTGTCTTTCTTCTTTTTAAAAAAAATAACGGCTTTATTGAGATATAATTCACCCTTTAAAGTGTGTAAGTCAGTGGCAAAAAGACCAATAGAAAGATTTGGGGTATGCTTCCAAGAAATGCCGAGAACTTGAATGAAAGCCTGGGCATGAAGAAATGGAGGCTGTTTAGTTAGCTTTTTCTTTTATCTACTTTTTTAGGCTCTAATGCATATATTCATTTACAGTGTACATTCCAGTGGTTTTTAGTGAATTCACACCACTGTCTAAGCCATGACCACTATCTGATTTTAGCACATTTTGTACCCTCCAAAAGAAATCTCGTGTATGAGCAGTCACTCCCCATTTTCCCACTCACCTCAGGCCCTGGCAACCAGGAATCTGTTTTCTAGATCAAGGGATCTGCCTGTTTGGGACATTTCACATGAATGGAGTCATATATATGAGCTCTTTTGTGTATGGTTTCTATCGCAGTGTAATGTTTTCAAGATTCATCCATTTGTCGCATGTGTCAGTATTTCCTTTTTATGGTAAAATAATATAGTCTGTGGGCTGGGCGTGAAGGCTCATACCTGTAATCCCTGCACTTCGGGAGGCTGAGGCAGGTGGATCACTTGAGATCAGGAGTTCAAGACCTGCCCACTCAACATGGTGAAACTCCGTCTCTGTTAAAAATGCAAAAATTGGCTGGGGATGGGGGCAGGCGCCCGGAGTCCCAGCTATTTGGGAGGCTGTGGCGGGAGAATTGCTTGAGCCCAGGAGATGAGCTGAGATTGCACTACTACCCTCCAGCCTGGGCAACAGAGCAAGACTCTGTCAATAATAAAAAAATAATAATAGTCTATCATATGGATATACTACATTTTATTAATCTTTATCAGCTTGTAGACATTTGGGTTATTAACATTTTTTGGCTTTTATGAACAATGCTGCTATAAACATTTTTGTACAAGTTTTTGTGTGGATGGACATTTATTTTTACTTCTCTTGAGTGGAATTGCTGTGTCATACGGAAACTCCATATTTAACTTTTTGAGGAACTACCAAACTGTTTTACACAGTGGCTGAACCGTTTGACATTTCCACCAGTAAGGAATGTGAGTTCCAGTTTCTCTGTGTCGGCCTAACCCTTATTATTACATTTTTTTAGCATACCCATCCCAGTGTGTGTGAGGTGGTGTCTTGTGGTTTTGGTTTGCGTTTTCCTAATGACTATGACGTTGACTCTTTTTGCATGTGTTTACTGACTGTATATCTCGTTTGGAGATGTGTCTATTCAAATTCTTCATCCATTTCTAATGAGGTTATCCTTTTATTGTTGGGTTCAAGAGTTCTTTTCATATTCTGAATGCAAGTTTCTATGAGATTTATGATTGGTAATTTCCCCCTATTCTGGTGTTTTTTCACTTTCCTGATGGGATCCTTTGAGGCACAAAAAATTAAAACAATTTTTAAAAACTTTTTTCTTTTATCACTTGTGTTTTTTGTATTGTAAATAAGGAATCATTGCCTAATCCAATGGCGAAAAGATTTACCCCTGTGTTTTCTTCTACGGTGATCATGGTTTTAGCTCCCACATTTAGGTCAATGGTCCATTTTGGGTTAATTGTGTGTGTGATGTCAGGCGAGTCCTGACTTTATTCTTTTGTATGTGGATATCCAGTTGTCCCAGCATCATTTGTGGAAAATAATGTCCTTTCCCCACTGAATGGTCTTGTTGAAAATCGGCTAACCACAGGTATATGGTTTTATTTCTGGAATCTCAGTTCTATTTAATTGATATGTATGTCTGTCTTTATACCAACACCAGACTGCCTTTTTTTTTTTTTTTTAGACAGAGCCTTGCTCTTTTGCCCAGGCAGGGGTGCGATCTCGGCTCACTGGCTCTGCAACCTCCGCCTCTGGGGTTCAAGTGATTCCTGTGCCTCAGCCTCCTGAGTAACTGGATGACAGGCATGCACCACCACGCCCTGCTAATTTTTGTATTTTTAATAGAGACGGAGTTTTGCCAAGTTGGCCAGGCTGGTCTCCAACTCCTGACCTCAGCTGATCCGCCCGCCTCGGCCTCCCAACGTGCTGGGTTGACAGGTGGGAGCCACCGCGCCTGTCCCAGACTGTCTTGATTATTCTAAATTTGTAGAATCATGTTTTTTCTTGTTAGTATTGTTTGTTTCAGTACAAAAAAGAAAAAAGGAAAAGACTTGAGTGTGGTTCTCGTCCTCAGATTTTGCTGAACCGCTGACCATGCCTGGTTACGGAGGGGCGGCTTCTGCCGGAGCCTCTGTTTTTGGTGCTTCTGGATTGGATAACCAGCCCCCAGAGGAAATCGTGGCTATCATCACCTCCATGGGATTTCAGCGAAATCAGGCTATCCAGGCACTGCGAGCAACGGTGAGCATGAGACTGTGTGCATGAGTGTGTGTGTGTGTGTGTGTGCACATGAGTGTGTATGTGTCAGTGTATGTGTGTGTGCGTGTATGAGTGTGTATGAGTGAGTGAATGTGTCAGTGTGTGAATGTGTGTTTTGAGTGTGTGTGTATGTGTGTGTGTGCATGTATGTGTGTGTGTGGGTGAATGTGTATGTGTCTGTGTATGTGTGTGTATGTGTATGTGTCAGTGTATGTGTGTGTGTATGTGTGAGTGAATGTGTGTATGTGTGTCAGTGTGTGTGAATGTGTATGTCTGAGTGTGTGTGTGCACGTGTGTATGTGTGAGTGTATGTGTGCGTGTATGAGTGTGTATGAGTGAGTGAATGTGTGTGTGAATGTGTATGAGTGTATGTGTGTGTGTATGAGTGTGTATGAGTGTGAGTGAGTGAATGTGTGTGTATGAATGTGTATGAGTGTATGTGTGCACGTGTGTGTGTGCATGTGTGTGTGTTCTATGTGTGTGTGTATGAGGTGTATGAGTGTGTGTGTGAATTTATTTCTGTAGCAGTTAAGACTTTCCAGTGTACTTTGATCATTTTGATTTATGTTCAATTCGTCTATGAATCTCACCATAGCCCATAAAGATTTATTTATATATTGTACACATGAAGCTAAAATAAATAATTTTCACACGGAGAATTTAAGAATAAGGCGATAGTAAAGCTGGGATAATATGAGCAAATCGAGAGAGACTTGTTCTCACCGTGAATGTTTGTTAATAGGGGTCACAGGTTTGACTTGGAGCCTGCTTGTGGCGCTAGAGGAAGGAGGGCCACATGGAATCCCGAGTTCAGTAAGACGTCCTTTCAGAGATGTAATGCCTTTCTGAGACCAAGACCTTGGATAAATGTCTCTTAAAAGTCCTCATGCAAGACTGAACGCCTCCTTGGAATTCTCTGCTGCATTTTCTCTCTGTAGAAAGAGAAGGTTCTTCTGGTAGCCGTGAGCTTCTTGATTCAAGAAGCAAGAGACCCTGAAACTTTAGGGTAGACAAGTCCCTTCTGCAGTGCTGATATCTGTTTAATATTCAGGGAAAGTACTTAAAAAAGCGCACCCTTTCATCTTGTGAGTCTTAGCAGAAAAAAAAAAGAGAGATAAAAACCAAATCCAAAGCTAAAACCCAAAACATCCAACCTTCCTGGTCACACCATAATCCATTTTTGAGTAGATACCTGGCCTCAACTGCTTCTTGCCTGTCCTGATGGAGTGCCTGCTGGGGCCTGTTGCTGAGGTCACTGTGGCCCCTGACTGTCTCATGAGAATGTGGCTAGAACAATCTGTCTTCCTTTCAGATGCGTAAAAGATCTCAGCCGGAGTTCGTCTTGCTTGGGGTCCTTTCTTGCGCCCCACTCGTTCTACCTGCCCCACTGTTTCATTAGAGCTTCTGTATCTCTACAGATTCTTTAACCTGCCGGCGATACCGCAAGCTGAGAAAGGTGGAAATATTTTTATGGCCAATTAGTTTGAAGTACATGGAGTCCAGTTTAAACAATTACACTAGCTAGTCAGTGTTGTCGTCATTAATCAAGATGTTAATCTTGTCTTTACCACAGTTCAACCCTTTTACCAACATTCCCGGAGAGAAGGCTCTCATACAGTGCTCACCCCGGCATCCCTGTACCGTGCAAAGTTCTCTGCAGAAAATACAGTTGGTAGGGAAGGTAGTGTGTGCAATGAAGTGGCTTTAGAAAGAGCTGCCCTTAAACAAATGCCGTACCCTTGGTTTTCCCACACCTGTCATTACCAGCGTCTTCCTCAGAAATGCTGGGCTACCGCTGATGCAGGCTTTGGGATGCCGACCTGCTGCTTAGAGCTGTTTTCCAGGGAACCCAATTGCAGGTGTCAGCGGGAGACCAGCGGAGTGTGCATGTCACGCGGAGTCAGAGCTTCTCACGCACGGCGCCGAGGCCTGGTGAATGCAGGCCTTCTTCCCTGTCCGCGTGACGCCCAGTTGTCACGGCCGGGACACAGCGAGGCCTGAGGCTGCGCGCATCGTAAAAACGTGTGTTTCTCTTTTGTCGTTAGAATCACAGCCTGGAAAGGGCGCTGGACTGGATCTTCAGTCACCCTGAGTTTGAAGAAGACGGTGACTTTGTGATTGAGATGGAGAATAACGCCAATGCAAACATTATTTCTGAGGCCAAGCCTGAAGGACCTAGAGTCAAGGATGGACCCGGAAGTAAGTTCTCGCCTTAGAGGCTGTCTAGCAGTCGCGACTGCACATCCAGCTCCCGCCCTCCTGTCCCACCGCGACACAGTCAAGCCTTTGTCGTTGTTCGAAAGTTTGCGCAGATCCTGTCTTCTCGGAAATGGTGCCATTTGCCCCTTTGCGTGGGCCCCGGGGATCTCATAAAGTCACGTCACAGTTGTGTTGCTTGGTCGTGTGTGTGCCTAAGTTTAGGGCCAGCCTTGACTTTGTTCCGTTGAGGTAAAATTTCTCCATGGACTGTGGGAGGTTTTGTCAAAAGAGAACATTTGTGTTCACGGTAGTGTTTTGAGTAGTAGTAACGTAGTTTCATCCTTCACTATACCCTTCCCAGAACCAGCTGCTGAAAGTATTCTGAAGGCTTGTCTCAGGACGACAGGAAGAGGTGCTGTGGCCATTGTTGTGCCTTTTTTTTTTTTTTTTTTATGACACAGTCTCGCTCTTGTACACCAGGCTGGAGTGCAGTGGCGCGATCTCAGCTCACTGCAACCTCCACCTTCCAGGTTCAAGCAATTCTCCTGCCTCAGCCTCCCGAGTAGCTGGGACTACAGGTGCCTGCTGCCACAGCCAGATAAGTTTTGTATTTTTAGTAGAGATGGGGTTTCACCATGTTGGTCGGGCTGGTCTCGACCTCCTGACCTCAGGTGATCCACCTGCCTCGGCCTCCCAGAGCACTGGGCTGACAGGTGTGAGCCACCGTGCCAGCCTGCTCTGCCTTTTCATATCAAACACTTACGTATGTCACTATGTGTCACCACTGTTCTAAGCACTTTGCATATCAACACGCATGTAACCCTCATGCAGCTGATTTTACAGATGAGAAAATAGAGGCACAGAGACACTGGGTACCTTGCCAAAGGCCACACAGCGTGTAAGAGATGGAGCCGATTCAAACCCAGAATCCGTGTTCTTCACCGTGCTGACATCCTGCTTCTTGGGCTGTCACTGCCTACGGAATAATGCTCAGGCTCTTTGTCTTGACACTCAGCACCTCGTGCAGGCGGGTCCCGGCCCAGCTGGTCTCCTGGGGACACCCCTACACTCCCTGTACCTGCAGCTGGGGTGCCTGAGACCGTAGCCACGTTCTCGGCCTACGCAGCCGTCAGGGACTCTCTTCCACTTACCTGCAGACGCTTGCTCACGTTGACCCTGTTTGTGAAACGAGCTTCCTCTCCCTTCACCGCCTGCTGAAATTCTCATCATTGCTTAGAACTGGGCCACAGATTCCAGTTCTCTGGCCTGCCTTCCTAGAGCCTTGCCATAGTCGGCTCGTGCTTACCTCACGTGCTGGCATGATGGTACCAGTATGAAAAATGCTTCCATTTGTGCCATCTTCAGTCCTCACAGTGACCTCAGGTGGTACATTACCATTATTATGCCCATTTTACAGGGGAAGAACCTGAGGCAGAGAAGGTTAAGTAGAAGCTTGTCAAGGTCACATAGCTAGTGATGGGCAGAACCCGAATTCCAGGGCGGGCAGTCTGCCCCAGAGCCTGTTAGCCGCCGTAATGCATTGTTAGTTCTTTTGTTTTTTTTTTGAGACAGTCTTACTCCATCACCCAGGCCGGAGTGCAGTGGCCCGAGAAGCTGGGATCACAGGTGCGGGCCACCATGCTTCATTGTTAGACCTAACAAATTGATCTTGCATAAAATTCCCTCTGTAGATGTTGGTGTCTCCCATTTGACTAGGAGCTTGCCCAGGGCAGAGGCCATTTGACTTTTATAGAACTCATGGTGCTAGTCACATAATAACATTGTATTTAATGAAATCAACCTTAGCAGCGTTTGTTCCTGTAATCATACAGTGGTGGATCGACTCAGTAACGTTCTTTCCAGACCTAATATGTACATATTGATATAAAATGAGAGAGAGAGGGTGGGAGGGAAACTTTCTCCTTTTTTAAAAGAAATTTAAAATAAGAATTTTATCACTGAAACTGTTTCACTGCCAACTGGGTAAGAAAAGGATGAGGTATGGTTCTCCCAGTTTCCATATTCATTTAAAGTATCTTGTATTACCTTTCAGACATTACTAGCTTGCCTAAAATATTTAAAGCTGTAACAGACAGGTTACTCAATAATGCATGAGCAGGATTGATTATGTATTACACATCCATCAGTTCGCTGCTTCATTGATTTTCCATAATGGACTTTTCTTTGGAGAGGATGAGACCTTCTCGCAGAAGGAATTAGCCACAAGATGGGGCGCTGTAAAGCTGCAGAGGGAAGGCGGGTCTGATCTTTGGGGGCACCAGCCACGCCCTCACAGGTGTCAGGAATGATGAACAGGAGCCGTCATCTCCTCGGGGCTTCCTCTACCTCCAAGACAGAGATCTGCAGAGATTCCTGGCGCTGCTGGATTTCAAGTTGTGTCATTGGTTAGATGCTGCCAAGCACCCTTTAAGGCACTATGGGTAAAGCCCAGGGACTGCGGGTGAGGGTAGCGCTGGAGCACTGTGAGACGCGCTTAGAGCAATCACGGGCCAGAGGTGTAGGATATAAAGGCAGTAGCAGGTGAAATGCTCAGTTATGAAGACAGAAAAGCAGAGCCCTAACCCGCCCAATGCATTTTGAGTTTGATTTTACAGAACAACAAATGTTTTCCAAGTAGCTTCCCCAGCACTGTGCCTGGCCCGTGGCAAGTGACCAGCAGATAACTGATTGAATGAAGAATTGAGTGACTGCCAGGAGGTAGCCCTCTCAGAGTATTTTGCTGCTTCCACAGAGCGCCGTTCAGAGGGGTTGGCTGTGTGCTTCCGTGTTACATTGCGTGAATCAAAGGCAGGGGTAACGTGACTTCTTGTACTTGGCTGTGTTAGCAACCGGTTGAATATTGCCAGTCGTTGCTTTTCTTCCTTTTGTAAAATAATTAACATTTATATTGTCTTTCTTATAATTAAAAGGATATATATTAATTTTAGCAACTTGAGAAAATAAAGACATATGAAAAGACAAAATTAAAAATGACAATCCTACTCCCCAGCAAAAACCACAAAATAATGTTTTGTTTATATTCTCTAGACCTTTTTAGACAAATACATGAAAATGATGTAAATCCATAGATTTATAAAAATAGAAAAGCAAGTCATAAAATAGCAAACATGTGATTAACGTGATTGGGCTATGATTAGGCTGTGAGTTTTGTAGGTGTACGTGTATATAAATCTATATTGTTGAACATATATTAACAATATTCTATTATAGACATGTACCATAATTTGTATACCTAATTCTAGGCTAATTATGTATCATTTAAATAAAAGATTACATTATTTCAGAGTTTCAGATAATGAAGATATCTCCACATTCAGAAGATGACTGCTATGATTTTTAAATCATGAGTTTCTTTTTTCTTTTTTTAAGACAGAGTCTTGCTCTATTGCCCAGGCTGGAGTGCAGTGGCATGATCTCGGCTCACTGCAACCTCTGCCTCCTGGGTTCAAGTGATTCTCATGCTTCAGCCTCCCTAGTAGATTCTCGTGCCTCAGCCTCCCAAGTAGCTGGGATTACAGATGTGCACCACCATGCCCAGCTAATTTTTTGTATTTTTAGTAGAGTCAGGATTTCACCATGTTGCCCCGGGTGGTCTCAAACTCCTGAGCTCAGGCAGTCCACCTCCCTCAGCTCCCAAAGTGGCTAGGATTGGAGGTGTGAGCCGCTGCTCCCGGCCAAGCCGTGAGTTTCTTAAAGGATGAATTCAGGTCACAGAAGAACAGCACATGCCTAATGTAACCCCTCTGCAGGGAGTACCAGCTGGTTCAGCATTTCCGCCTTCCACCCCTTCCTTATGTCCTTCTTCTACTAAAAGTAATATTGTGACGAACAACCTTGGGCCCTCATTTGATTATTTCTTTAGGGGAAGTTTCTGGAAGTGAAATTTGTAGTGAAAAATACATATTTTTAAGGGTTTAAAGCAGATTACCATCACATGACCCTCCACAAACACAGCAGGGGGCCACATCCTGGCCACACGGGTGACTCTCCTGTCTCCCCAGCCTTCCCCAGCTGTGCTGTGGGGCTGAGCACTTTTTACATATTTTTAAAAATCTTAATTGCCTAGTTATTTTTCCTTTCATGTTAACAGCTTCTTCATTTCCTTTGGCCAGTTTCCCACTTTTATTGAGGTTTTCAGCTGTTTTTCTTTTATTGATTTTTATGAGTTTCGTGTGTTGTAGATTAGTTTGGGAATACCTGATCACTTTACAATATTGAGTTTTTCTAGCCAGAAACATATGCTTCTCCTTTGATTTATCCTCCCCTTCCGTAATTCAAAGCCGTGTGGTTTTCTTCATAAATGCGCTGTGCATTTCTAATTTTGTCTCCAAATTACATTTTCCGTGTTACTTATGAATAAGAATTTTCTGCATTGTATATTTTACAATATTGCTGCTAAATTACGTAAAGTTACTGATCTTGTAATTTTGGCCATTCTCTAGGGGTCTGACTGGCATTACATTAAGTTCATAGGTTAACCTGTGAACACATAGGTGTGTGCTCTGTTTAGCTAGGTTGTTTAAATTCCCAGGTCATTTCGTTTTACATTTTTTGGTTGGTGAATTGACTGTGATATTTGACTTGAGAATACTGAATACAGTTAAAGGATAAGGGTAATTGGTGCTTGAGGAACCAAAACAAACAAAATAAAAACAACCTCAATTTTCAGGGTTTTGTATTAAGTGGCAGGAAGGCCAAGACAAATTTGTCTAAGCAAAAAGGGAATGTTGTCTCATGAACGCTGGGAAGTCCTGGGGGCACTGGGCCCAGGCCTGCCTTGATTCAGGACTCAAACGTTTTATCTGGATGGGCCCCTTTGTTCTGCTTCCTCTAGGTGGGTTCCAGTCCCAGACAGGGTCTCCCTCATGGCACAAGATGGCTGCAGCGCCTCCCACAGACTGCCTTTCCAGGTCAGACTCCAGTGGAGTCTTGTCCCAGAGTTCTCAGCAAAGGTGCGAGAGTCTGAGACTCCATGAGCC